GCAGATGATACCTGTGATGTGTTCATGCACACCTCTGAAAACAGGAGGAGCTTAAAAGTGCCATTTTAGAGGAGTGAGGGAGAGGCCTCTGGATTGCTGCTTAGAGAATGTATGAATGGAAAGCCTGAAACACTGAAGTTCACTTTTCAGCCTCACCCTGTGGGCAGCTGTGCTAAGAAAAGCTCAGACTTCCTCAAAAATGCTACATGATAGGAGCTATGGAAATTACTTTTCCCTACTCAGCATTGTATCATATATGCAAATGCCATTTTTTTTAGGTCATTACTTTCACATGGATGCACATTTATTCAGAGAGGAGGTTTTTTCCCATGAGTTCGACTGAGCTAGGGCTTTCCATTTAAATACTCCAACATGCTCACACATACTCAATCTTAAGAACAGACTTAGAAGCCACTGCAATCCAGAGCCTCCTAGCACAATAAAGGCTGTGCCATGCACTTCACCTTTCTTCTCCTTCAAAACTGTCAGAAATTGCTGTGTACACCAGTGAAAACACATACTAAGAGGCCCTGGAGGCATTTCCAAAGGCGCTGAATTGACCTGAGGAAGGAGACTCATGCAATCTTATGAGCTTTCTGATGAATTGCCAGGAGCGTGTCCCCTCTTGTTCTTKTAGCCTTCCCCCCACCCAGACCGCTGCCTTAGATCACCTGGATAATATTTGTACTTAAGGCAAGGATTAATACATCTTCCTCTGAATTAATGTATGTCTACATATACACATATAGGAATAGGCACATAGAGATTATGTGTTAAGTTTACTGTCATGCCATAAACTTGGCCTTCTACTTGGTGAAAGAGGCTTGGGCTGTGAAAACCCTTGCCAAAATGAGGAGAGCTATTAAAATATGATCAGTTCTGGAAAGAGTGGAGTGATTTAACAGAAGACAACAGCTGCCAGAATGATTTATTTGTGAAGTTATTGAATTACACTTGAATTCACTTGAGAGAAATGCATGCAGGTGTAGCTATGTGCTAKCAAGCAAAGAACTGTCATGGACAGAAAAAGAGTCCAGTTTTGTTTCCAAATCTATTTTTGTTTYCAGTCAGGCATTACAATAAGGTTTTTCACTCACTGAAAGATATCAGCTGCATATTATGAGAAACTAAGCTTCAGCTTACAGAAAGGTTTCAAAGAAACCTTACAGCTTARAAAGTGCCTACATTTTACATCAGACCATCATCACACAAAGTTTACTCCCTCGTAAGTCAGAGACAGAATTACTCTTTAGGTCTTCTGCTGTCAAGTGGTGTTGTAGAAAGGCAGGTCTCATGTTCCCTAAGAACAAGTCTTACCAACGAAAGCACACATGTGGCCCACCCTAGCCACAGCAGAATCCATCCTTCTACYGTTGATGGTCTCCCATTTACTTACTTGCAGCAGTAGCTAATATGTAATCTCTACACACAARCCCCTTCAGATCATGGTGCCTCACATTCTTAACCCTGCATCAAAGCTCATTAAAAAACCCCAAAACCAGAAAAACAGAGTGAGCACTGTAAAAAATCAAGCAGAATATAAGACATAGTAAATTTAAGGCTAGCATCCTGTATATAGGGTATACCACTCTGCTGGACTCACAGGAATATCCCATTTCTCTGCTACCACATCCTGTGCTGAGAGAACTGCATTTGCCAGAAGTCTGACATGTACAGCTATGAACTGAGCGATGGTCTGAGCATTATTAGCTCACAAAGTGGTGTAATTATCAGAAAAGAGTAAGATTAAGAGCAAACATCATGCTTAACTGAGGAAGTTGTCTTGTTCAGCATTAACAGCTATGAAGCCATAAAGGAAACAATCCACTTTTAGTACTGCCAAATAAGCCAGAAACCAAAACTTCTTTATCATTCATGGTGCTACCAAAGGAAGTGTCTCTGTGTAATAACGTGGCTGGTTATGTGATACTGCAGGAGTTTAAAGCATGATGTGAGTTCCATAAATTGATGAAGTACAGAATATAGAATTTAGTTGCAACTGGCAATACCATTCTGGATTACCAACGGTAGCCAAAAAMCAGTGAAATGTTAGAAACTGTCAGAATTAAGGTTGTGCTTAATTATTTAAGCATACCTTGAGTGTAGCATCGCTGCAATCATTGCTTATTTAACCAAGTGCTTTGCTCCATCTCTCTGTCTTCTTCCATATGCAGAAAGGGCATTTCTCACATAATAAGGAGCTCTCCTACACTATGGTTTACTCATTCTCTATACATCTGCAAATTTTGCCATAAATAGGACAGATTTTTTAAACTATTTAATAATAATGAATAATAWTGAATAATCATACTGATCAATAATTATTCTATGCATAAATAAATATTCCTTTTTATGAAACAGCTCCTTTCACAATAGAACAGGTCACTCCTTCACACTGGACAAGGCATGAATCCCATGGAAAATAGTAATTTGAAGTAATTTCAGACTGTATCATAAGATTTAAAAATAATATAAAAAATTAAGTTTCATGGATGAGCTTAATTTTGACATTTCTTAAATGTTGTGGGCCTCACTTTGCTATCTTTAACTGTTGTGGGTTTTCTTTTTAAATGGTGAGTAGCAATTTTCACAAAGGTCCAGKATTTTGGTAGTTGGCCTATTTTAATGATTTCCAGCTCCATATAATATTACCAGGTTTTCCCCTACAAAATTATTTTGTGGCTCCCTATATATTTATTATGTAGTAAAACTATAATGATAAAATAATACATCAATTTAAAAATAAAAAATTAGGATCTTTGAAAAGAGACCTTTCTATTTTTCCTAATTCACTACTCTTCCCAGAATTCAAACAATACCAATATTTATAATACAAAAGGCAGATCCTATGTGAATACTTGAGGGGATTATATGGAGGAACTTAATGTTGTAGTAAAGGAATCTGCTAAATAGACATCAGCAAGGAAAGGAAAAAATGTACAAATTTATGAGCTGTAGATTTGAGCTAATGATGTTCTCTGAAGGATCACTCAATTATCATTAAAATTGAAAGTATTTTTAAAGCCAAATGTTCAAGCAATTAGGTGCCTGAATCATGACTGATTTTTTATAATAACAAGGATCAAGTACAGCACATGGAAATTTAAAAGGAAAGAAAATATGGTTAAGCAATGTACCCTGAAATCAAAATGAAAATGCATTAAGTCCTTGAATTGCAGTTGGTATCAAACAAAAAAGCCACAAATAATAAAGTTCACACACTTAAAGAAACTACATCTTGGGCGTGCTGCTATCTCTGTATAAACTTTCTGCCAGTATCCCCTGGCAAAATAAAATCTCTCTAGCAAGTTCAGCATATAAATCTCTTAGATCTGTAAGGGAAAATTCCAGCCAAAAGTGACTGGAACAAAGGAAGTATAGCTAAAAGTACACATAAGCCATAATGCTTTCATATCTTCAGGCAGTAATATTCAATGTTACTGCTGTCAGCTGTAGTGGTGATTTTTGTAGAAACAAGTAGACTTTGCCTAGCCCAGGTATATGGTATTCAAATATCCTGGTTTTTTTGGGGAAGCTCCTTGAAAAAGAATCTCAGGYAGCAGCTGTTTTGATATTTTGGAAATATTACTGATGGCTGAATTGTGACGTTATGTGCTTACAGTACCAGAGAGAAAAACAAGGATATTCCAGGATGCAGGTCTACATTCACTATTTTCTAAACTACTTTGAAATACTTGGTTGAAAATACAGAATGAATCACAGAATCATGTAGGTTGGAAGAGCCATTTTTAGGTTACCAAATGTGATTTCCTGACAAGGGGATTTCTCAAKGCCCAGTTCAGTCATATTATGAATATCTGCATGATAGGTATTTCACAGCCTCTCTCCATACCCATCCCAAATTTGTCCACCTTCATGGTGAAATATTCTTTTCATTATATCTAGTGAGAATTTGTTTTGTTCTAACTTTTATTCATCACTTCCTGTCCTATTGCTGTACATTTTTGTGAAAAWTCTGTCCATTCCTTCCCTGTGACCTTCCATTAAATAGCTGAAGACATCTATAAGATCTGTCCTTAACCTCCCCCTCTCAAAGCTGAAACAATTTTCATCTCAGCCCCTCCTGATGTCCCATGTTCCCCAGGCCCCTGACCCTGGTGGAGCACTGCTAACCCATGTTTGCCAGTGTGTCCCCAACTGTCTTGTAATGGAAAGTCCAAAACTTGCCTTTTACTGCAAAGCTCCTTCCTAAGCAATCATCCCAAATCCATAATGAGGATGCACAAGGCTTTTTTCTCCCTTTCCATCTGCTTTTGTTGAACTTCCTAATGCTCCAGTCAGCTGCTTCCACAGCCTGACCAGAGCCCTCTCACCAGCAGCGCTGCCCTTCAGTCAATGGTCACTCTCCCCATTTTGGTACTGTCAGCAAATGTGAAACATGCCATTAGTACTCACTGTTAATATTTGCAGGAAGAGAGGAGAGTGTTGTGCAAAGTCCTGACTTTGTTCTGTTTATCAGCTCCCTAGCATAATTTGAGGAAGCCATATTAGTCTAGATCCTTAGCTTAAACTCAGACAATCCAATTACCACTGAAAACAACAAAAGAAGGGCAATTTTAGGAGCAAGCTTTTGGAAAGAAGCTTGTATTCTCAAATGTATTAAGTGAATAATCACATTTTTTCTTGGCTGCCTTACAGTATTACAATATTACAGACCATTCTTTCCTGAGGAATTTAAAATTTTCTTTTCTTGAAAAATATATACTTATCGCTCTTTCCAAGTTAAATAGCAATAAACTGAGTATTAACTTTTTTCTTTTTTATTATTATAATTTTAAATACTGTGGGATAGTATTTATTATTTTTCTCTACTTTGGAAAAGAGAAAATATAATGAATAAACTAYTGACAGTGTGTGTTTTCCATGTTGCTTATTTTTGCCACTACCTTGAAGAAAGTTTGACTGAGACAGCTGTACTAAAAACCAGTTATAATAATAGAATAGCTTGGGTTGGAAGRGACCTTAGAGATCATCTAGTTAATGCATTTGAAAATACATTTGAAGACTTTGAAAAACACAGCAAGAAATTGCACAGCATATTGGAAGTAGATGATCCCTTCCAAGCCTAACCATCCTRTGATCCATTAATTCATTCTTTACAAGTAAATTCTGATAAATTTTCTATGTTTTGTGATGACTTTTTTAGTGTTTCTGTATATATTTACATTGAAGTCAGACTTTYAGAAAAAAGAAACAACCAAAAACTTACAAAAGACATCTCCTCTTAGGCTTCGCTCATCAATTTGATTTTCAAAATCTTCCTTCTCCTCTTCATCTGACTCTTCTGCCTCCTCTTCTGCAGCAGCTTCAGTTTCTTTCTCTTCCTCACTGTAGCTCCCACCAAGATCAATTCCACCTTCATAGTCCAGTAATTGCACGTGGGTCTTAGAAGGTGGTGTCACAGCTGCTTCTGGGATTGCATTCTTGATCGTTTCATGCTTTTTCACGCTGTTTTTATGTGCAAGAAGTTTCTTAATTGTGTCCTTAGCTGTTCCAGGGATTCTTGCAATTTCCTTCACTGACTTTTCAGGGATAACTAGAACCAAGAAGAAAACAGGAAATATTCACCTGAGGAATCATTCAGCAGTGACAACGTTTTTAAAGGGGACCATGGTGTCCTTTGCAAGGTCCAGAGACCCACAGAAATAAACTCTCTACTATGAGATACAAGTTCAGTTCTGCACAGAACTGGACCCTAAGCACACGTTCAGCTCTGTTGCATGGCCAGCTCTGTCCGAGTTACAATGAAAAGACCACAGCAATTCTCTGTAATGACCTCTCTGGACTCCTGTGTAGCACAAGACTAACACAGGCCATAGAGCTCCTTGCATTAATTATTTTTACACTGGAGCTTGGGTAAAAAAAACCAAACAAAACAACCCTGCTTCAGTTTGTGGACTAAAATTGCACATGGAGCTGGGATCTCCTGCACAATAACTGCAGCCTAATAATAATGAGCATTTTCCTTTGCTATCTTTTGTGAACATCCCTGGCCTAATTTTCCTTCCATGGCAGGCTGAAAGCTACTGAAATGGAGGATATTTTGAGAAGACATATATCAAGCTGCTCCATCATATTACTTTTAGCTCTAAGGGATATTTAATTGTAAGGGATAAACACCAAAATTCAGAGAGGTATCCAAGAATGCCAAATTATTAGCATCCTGCAATTCCAAGATGGACTAGAACATAAATGTAACATTTCCCAAGAATTTACTATTTTATGATTCCTCTTGGATGTGAAAGTTATCCTTTTGGATAACCTGGTGTTATTTCAATTATCCTGGAATTATCCTTTTGGATACTACTGTAGAATGTTGTTCACAACCATGTCATAAGCTACTGATCAGCCTTCTGCAGTTTGAGTCCTTTCTGTGAAGTACCTAGGATACAATGAAAGCTGAGCAGTTCCAGTGTGCTATGAAAAAGCTCTTTCATTAAGAGAGACGATTTTCATCAGTGGATCAGAATAGCCTCATATACTGCTTCCTGTCTTTGATTCCCAATCAGTATTGATGCTGCAGTCTTTCAGGATTAAAAATGATGCTGGAACACAGCTATTTTTATTTCTTTCTGCTTTCGCTGTCTAATGATYGTATTACCTGGGCAACAATATATTCCTGTTTTGCTCCTCACTTTGCATTTATGAAAATTTTATAGTAGTACTTTGAGACAGATGGACTAGACTTGGAACCTTGGATAGTGCTCTTTTCTCTGTGCTTCTTTTCATAGAGACACAGCAGAAGAAAATATRCCAGTTAATAAAATAGAACTGCAGWCTAGTAGGAAAAGGAGAAAGTTCCCTGAATTTATATTCATTTCTGGAAAATACAGTCCTATCACTGTGAATTTGTCACATTTTATTTATGGCAAGTGCAGCTACATGCTATTTAGTATGTCAGGAACAGAATCAGACTCTTGATGTGCTCACTGTAGCATTCAGGTGTTTTTGAGATTGCTGTTGGAGTAAAGAGATGCCAATAAAATAAAAGTCACAATTGAGGATTTTGTTTTTTCTTTCTGTTGGATAAAACTTGTAGGATTGTTTGTCAAATACTTTCAAATAAACTCTTTACTAATACTCCACTAAGTATCCTCTGGAGGATGATGTYATGAAGGATGTAAGGTTCCCTGGGTCTGAACTCAGAATTCAGCAGTAAAAATTAACAGGAAAGCTTAATTCCAAACAAATTTCCTTTTGACAATCAGTAACACGGAACTTCACATTTTTAATGAAGAGGCTATGGGGATTTTCAAGAMCACAAGACTGACTGCTCAGCAAACCTGAACATCTGCTTTTAGTTTCTGCTTTGAAGTTTTCCTCATGAAATGAAGAATTCTTACAGTTCAATGAAATAACCTCTGTGGTGTCAGAAAACCAATCTCCTTGTATGTGCAAAATTTAGCAGTGTGGAAAATCAGCTGACAGGAGTGACAAAAAGAGGGGGATGAAAATGTGTAAATTCCCATATGCTTGCAGACTCCAATTTGATGCTGCTCTATAAAATCTCAGTGCTTGTGGGGACAGTAGGAGACAGCATTAGTCTGCTTCTAACCTGCATTCAGCTTTAGAGTAGCTAAAGGTGTGGATTTAAGGCTTTTTAGGTCTACCCATAAACTGCAGGAGGACTAATGCATTGTAGGGACACACCACCTTATAYTCAGACTGCTCTTTTGAATCCATGGCTTTTCCTAAATGAGCAGCTCACCTTCTCTGGCACGCAGTATTTGCCTACATACTGAATTAAATTTTAAGAATATCACCAGTGATATGACCACGATTGCTTTTGAAGCTCTGCAACTTCATGATGTCAAACCAAACCTTTCTCAGGACTGGCAAGTTAATAAGAAAGCAAAATCATATATGGGGTTAAATTTACCCTATTAGCAGAAAATGAATRAACAAGAGGCAGAGAAAGAGCTGGCATGAATTTTTATTGACATTTAGATACCCAGCAAAACATAATGAAGAAAAGRAACCTCTGCCTCTGTTGGGCAATAACAAGAGTGTCACTGTTGAGCTCCTTAGAGTGATGCCTGTAGAGTTTAAGATAGTAATCCTTTTTCCTGTTACTTTGTAGGACCAAAAAAKTTAATGAAAAATAGTTGGGTTTTTTTCCCCCCAGGAATCTTAATTGCTTATGGAACCTTGTAAGACTCTATTCTTAAATAAATCTGAAATRCACATGTAGAAGCATGTGGCAGGGGAAATGTGGGTTTTCAATGCACAATAGGAAATCAGGAAACACATGAACCTGAGATGTGGAAATGACTAGGACCCTTCCAGGGATCATTCAAAAGGTTACATCTCTATGGATTCTAAAACAAAATGTGTATTTCAGCCAGTTCAGGAAGAGTCTCCAACATTTCATACATATAGGAATGTTAAATGGCAAAAGGGTGCCTTAATAATCATAGGTCATGTCCACACCAGCAGCAGTGTTTGCAGCCTGATGTTTCAGCAGCTTTCTCCAAAGTTAGTATATTGACATAAAAATTGAATGAAAGAATTTCCACCACCTTCTGTGTAAAGGTAAATTATATATTGCCTCACTTATTAGGTTATTTGGTGGCATGAGGAGATGTAGCCATAAGAGTTTAATTACAAACAATGTGCTTAGTTACTCTCCTTTCATACTCAAAAAATTAAGTTATATATTAAAATGATTTTCATTTTTTGCAGAAAGCAAATACTGCCATGGTAGCCAGTTTTTTATATGCTAGAGACAATTGTTATAAAGAATTAACACTTCCCTGTGAAAACAGAATTCCAGCTCTGTGGTAATAATTATGTGGAGTRCTGGGGATATATTTAAGAAGTTTTTTGTTCAGCTTTAGCAAAAGCCCAGGCCCATCTGTGGGGAGCTGGAATGGGCCACAGGAACTACAGCCATTGTCACCAAAAGAAGTGTGAAGCCCCAGCCTTCAGCCCCTAAATTCCCAAGATGGTGTTCTCATCTCATTCAACCCAACAGCAAAATTTCTTTTGGCTGCAGTAAAAGAAATTTTTCCACAAAGCTTTTCCACAATTGCCCTATGACACAGAGAACGCTTAGTGTTTCACTGTAGGCTGGTACATCCAATTGTTTGTGTAACTGTTTGAAAAAACATTTTCCCCTATAGCAAGACACGTCCTGCCCCTATCAGTTACACTAGTCAGATCTTCTTGAGGATTGCAGTAAAAATCAACTATTGAAACATTCAGAGCTAAAAGAATCTTCTCTTCCTTCAGTTAAAAAAACCCCATATTTATGTGGGAGAATTACCACAAGAGAAACCAGTTTCTATTTAGCACCRCTGCATTTCAAGGCTCACCTACCACAGATTGTGTTTTAATCTTCCTCCATTGTTTGCCTCTTTCTAGCTGGATCCTCATCTTTTGGCCTTCTGCCTGTGGCTCTGATTGCACTCATTACTGTACATTATTCCTCTATCCTGTCTTATATTGAATCTCTTTTCCTTTTCTTGTGTTCTACCAAGTTTATGAATGGCATGGATACTTCCTCTGCTGAACAACAAATGGAGTTCAGTAATTGGAAATATGACATGAGGAAGTAGGCAGAGGGCAGACTATRTAAGAGGAACACCAGTGAGAAGATRGGAATCATTTTACAGGGCTAGACATCAAAAAAATGACTCTCCAAAAGTGAAAATATTTATGTTATTCGTATTTAAGCAAACATTGCTGTTGAATTGTTTTTGCTTGATGAAAGAATATTTTATACATAGAGTTAGTCAAAAAGAAAATTTCCCTGGAATTTTTTACCTTCTCATTAAAAAGATAAAGCCAAATAAATGAACAAAAAAACAAAAAAAACCAAACCCTGACCATTTTTCTCAGAGATGTGTTTGTTTAGCATTTCACCTGTGGTACGTTTTGTTTGAACAAAACCTTCTCAAGATGTGTCATGTCAGTTTGCTTTGATATCCAGTGAAATGCATCCTTCCATTGCAGTGAGCTGCAGTGATGTATCACAAGGGATTGGTCTGGCAAGGAAATGGGCTCATARCATTGAATTGGAGTAAAAGAATGTTCTAAACAGCTCTGCAGAGGTTATCTATGCCCACACCAAACCTTTCAGTAACAGTCAGATTTTTGTGTGTTTATTTKTGCTTTTTTTACTGGAAGTTGTAACTTAACGGCACTCTCCTGTGCAGCGTCAGGAGTTAGACTAGTGGGTCCCTTGCAACTCAAAATATTCTGTGAAAATATTAATTTATCAATGTGCATTGTAAGTTTCAATTACTATCGTAATGGCAGTGGGAACATGAGTAATAGAGGGACTCAACATCTRTGACTATGAAGTATAATCATAATACATATTTGATCACGGATTACTTGAAAAGATTTATATATTATGTAGAATTCATCTGCTATAGACAAAAACCTTTAAGATGTTTGAGCAGGAGTCAAGTGTCCTCTTGAGGAAAACATCTTTAATGATGTTGCAGGAGAAACATCTGCCAGGTTTAATAAAGGTATAAATGAAAAGGTTCATTTTAAATATAAAGATAAGAACAGCCTTTCTTTTTTTCTTCTTGGAGGGTCATATTCAGATAAAGTGGGAAATAACATCTTTATAGGAGATCTTCCATATTCAATAGATAAAAAAAGGCAAAAATTTTAAGTGAAAACAGTTTAACACAGAAGTCACAGCTTTCCTCCGTTTTCTCATTTTTTGCTAAGTTAGTGTGAAACTGTTCTGGGAGGGACTGCACAGCCCTCCAAGGGGCTAACCTTGGGAATTCATGGAAAATTCACAGTAGGTTTTTTAAACTATTTCTCTGTTTCTTCAAGACAAATTCACTTCTCTGGTCTACTTGCAATTCATAAAGCTATTATGAGTCTTGGAGACAGGAAAATTAATTTGAACAAGTGATACTTGTATTATCTGTGACTCATACAATTAATATTGATTTGTGGAAAGGTCATGCTTGGTTGGTATTGCAGCACTGTTCAGCACGACATTTCTGAGAAATTGCTTTGTGATGATCAATTATTGGAGAAAAACAATACAGCACTATTCCTGACATCCAGGGGTACTCACCAGCACAGTCAAATCCACTTCCTCTGTAGCCCTGYTTACATTTGCACTGGAAGGACCCTTCGGTGTTGAGGCACTCTGCGTGGAGGTTACACCTGTGTGTRTTTGTCACACATTCATTTACATCTGGGGGAAGATACAAATGCTTCAGTGAAAAATGTGTCAGAACTCATGAGAGCCTGTTTGTTATAACCATCTGTTTCCAGGTATTGTCAGCACTCATCTTAGACCAAGACAGTCCAGACACCAGCAGGGTACAAGGATTCACACTGGGAGAGAATGCTTGGTGTCAGCTCCAAAGCCCAGATGTGGCATTTGCATCCGTGGAAAATGTAGAGCATCCCAGTAAAGACAAGRTGAATGCAGTGATTTGCTGACTGAGAACAGGATTCAAACTATAGTTTGTACCCCACTCTTCTATTCACAAAATGCACAAGGCATCAAGAAAATGTGTAAGATCAATTAAAAAACAGTTCACCAACACCTTCTCATTTTTCAATCACTGTAAAAAGAATGCAATGGAACCTCGAGCATRCCAAGATGTCAAAATCTTTAATTTACCTCTAACATTCCAGCATATATATGATGCTGCATCAAAAAAGGTATAATCAGGAAAATTCAGTAGAAGATACAACATTAAACTCATTCAAGCAAAATGTACAGGCACCRAGACTATTTGGTTTTGCTCCATTACAAAGTTATTTCTGATTTCTTCCACGTGAGGGAGTCATGTATGTGTACAAATGTTTGCAACACTTGCATTTTAGCAGCTGACAGGTCCTCTCATAGTATGTCAGCAAACAAAAATCTGGTGTGTCTGGGAATGAGAYTTAGGTTTGCAAATAAAATCCTGACTACTGAGACCTTTCCAGTTTTTCCCCTATGCATGCATATTGTATGAGAAAGGAAAATATTTTTTTCCATTTTAGGACTCTCAGGGTTTGCTGAGAATGAAAACATGAAAAACAAACTTAAGACAAACTTCCATGAAAAACAACATGAAGAGCAAATTTCAGTCTCCAAACCTGCCTTATGATCTCCCTTCCACCCGTCACTTCAAATAGCAATTAAATATTAAAAAATCCTATTAATTCTCTTTTTTATGYACTTGTAGTAGTTCCAACCCTTCCAAGCCTTTGTGTAGTCAACAGCTTGAACAACACTCCTGTGGCACCTGCTGCAGTAATTTATATTTTGCTGTCCTTCCATCATTCAGCTAATGGATTGAAACAGGAGTAAGGATGTTTTGACATTCATTTTAACACTTGAGTATGTCAAGATAACTTTTTGCCTGTATTTATTTTTGTTAGGAAGAAACTTTGTCATGCAACAGAAACCTGAAAAGGAATTGAAACCTACTATTTTATTACTTTTTTTTTCCAAGTTCTGTACTATCTATCCAAATAAATTTTTTTACAGTCATGAAGGAACCTCATTCACATTCCTCAATAATGACATAAAAAAAGGGAAAAAAAATGTTGTGGAAGTGCTTATTCATCATCGTTTGAAAGCCAAGAAAAAATGGTTCTTAACTAAATCTTTACCAGAAGTAGCTTTTTTTGTTTTAGTCGACAGTTCTCAACTTAAGACAAACCCTTGCACATCTTTACTTAGTACAATAAGTCAATTTAAATTGTAAGTGCCAGTGATTAGGTTTTTCATAAGGCTACAGAGAAAACACAGAGAAAAATTCCATGTGCCATCAAGAACATTCTTAGCCTGACATCTTTTACCTACTTTTGAGGCACCACCCCCAGGACAGACCAACGTGCTTGAGGCTACGACAGGGAAGATGCATTAAATGAATTAAAATAATGGAGAAAACACATCCATGTGGTAGCTCTTACCTACACAGTTGTAGCGGCCACTGGCATATTTTAGTTCATAACCCAGCTGGCACTTGCAGTAGTAACTTCCAAAAGTGTTGACACATCTGCGGTTGTAAGAGCAGACAGCTTTGCCAGTGGAGCACTCATCAATATCTGCAGCAGGAGAAGGGATGCTGGTCAGATCCATGAGAAGGTRAAATGGGAAAGAAAGAACTCGCTGGGATTTGCATGGGAATGACTTGGTCTTGGCTATCACAAATAAGCTTAATAAATAAGCCTTGTAATTTTTTGTGTGTTTTTATGAGTGAAGCAGTAAAATGTGAACCAACATCATGCAAGAACACAGTACCAAGTATTATAAGCAATGCTTTCTTCATCACAGGAGGCTCACAGGTAATGTTGAGTCTTCTGGAGAAAAATTGAGAATTTTGTATTGTGGGTCATCTCAATRAAGGAAAGCCCCATCCAAACAAAATGCCCAAATCCTGTAACACGTTAAGTCAGCTTCCTGCTGCAAAGCACTGCATTTAATGATCTCATACCAATAGGGAGAAACTGAGTCTGTTAATGACTCTAAATCATGTAGAAATATTCAATTATTTATTGGGGGTGAGACTTACATGAATTACACAGCCAACAGTATAAGAAAATTTCTTTTTAAAAAAGCATGAAAACTTTACATCACAGTGAGAGTAACAAGAAGCATTATTTAAGCCAGCGAGGAGGATTAACTACTTCCTAACCTTTCCCCAGAATCTTATGGCTTCAGGGATCCTGCAGAAAAGAAGCTGAGAGTGAGCTGTCTAATCATACCAATGCACGTCCTTCCGTTTGGTCCCAGCTGAAGGCCCCCTGATGGACAGAGACACTGCACCTGCCCTTTGACTTCTTCACACCCATACTGGCAATTCACCATGGCACATGTCCTAGAACCTGAAAACAGGATTTAAAATAACAACAAGAGCAAAATTCTGCTTGTGGATTCTAGTGGAATCACACACTTAATTTTAAGTTAGACATGCATGAACACAGAAATTAAGAACAAAGTTACATTAATTATAAATAAAGCTGTTTATACATTCATGTATTAAAAATTCAGGAGTCCATGAGATATTTTCTACAAACAAAACTCTCACTGAAAAACGAGAAGCTTCCTCAGGTCTGAAAAATCAGATTGGCTAAAAAAMCAGAATGCTTCTCATTTCATGCTGSCTTAAAGACMAAGAAGATAGGTAGAAATACCKTTTTCCCCCACAAGTTTTGATAAGCCTTAGCTCATACAACAATTGTTTCCAAGAATAGTTTTCATAACTGTGGAAAGCGTAGCAACACAGATAAAATATATCAGTTGTAGAGCACAGAAAGGTAAAGCAAGGAATATGATATGAAATTCAGCACAGTAAAAGGTATTTTGTTTGAAAAGCTTTGTTTGAATACATTCAGTCATCCTTATTCAACAGATGAACTGGCAGGACTACACACCAATATCATACTAGCTGTCCTTCATCTGAAGAAACACTATCAAAAACTTTCACTTCTATCAGGACCAAAACACCTCTGAACACCAAAATGTAAGTATGACCTGGTTTACTTTACCCAGGAACTACCAAATAGGAAGGCTTTTTCAGCTGYGACAGTACCAGAGAGCTGGGGCAGAAACCCTATCCCGAATAAATTAAATCTCTTCACCACAAGAAGAAAATCTGCTGGGATTACATGTGATTAGATGTGAGTAGATGTGATTAGATGATTTCTGGTGTGGCTGTTCCATCAGCTCCATTACTCACTTGCACACGTGCCATCTGGCATGAGCRTGTACCCGTTGAGACAATAGCACTTGTAGCTGCCATGTGTGTTCATACATCTGTGCTCGCAGGGACGTGGCTTCAGCCCACATTCGTTCACATCTGCAGAATTCATTGGAATTGAATGAGTGCAGGGYTTTTATACATATATTAATGCTTAGAGGTGGATAATGCTGCCTAATGTGTTGAKCTCCCCAGAGTAAAATCGTCTGGATGGAAAATGAGCCAGCCCCTTGCAAGATGAGAGTTTAGCAGACCATCTGGCTGAAAGGCTGCTGTGAAACCAACATACACAGACTTCTACACTTGAAAAATTAATGCAAACTCTGGCCACATCTGGCAGCTTGTTAGGAAATAGTGGAGRGCTGGAGAGAGAATTGCAGTTAGTCTCTTTTTGAGACTTATCTTTCTGGATTTCTCTGATTCTAGCCCTCYAGTTGACCTCTGTACTAGAAAGGCAAATACATGAAACTAGGAACAGAAAAACAGTTTGAGATACAGTGACACAAAGATTTTTATTTTAATTTGTCTGAGCTACACACTGGCACCAAGGTTATCAGTAGCAGAAATTAAATACATCATAATAATTCTGTGACTTCAAAAATAATAAGGACCAAAAAAAAATCGCAAAATCTTGAGAATAAAAGTATTTTATTCTGCTTCTCAAAATCCAGAATTTCGAGGCTTTAAAAAAAAAAAAAAAAACTAGATCAATTTCAAATTCCCAATAGCTATCCTTCACAGGAGAAAATGAGAATTCTAAAAGGTTTTATTTSTGTGGTATAGTGTGAGCAGTGTTGACAATGATATTTGGCCTACAATAAGGAGACAACATCTGTGATTTTGACTTCTGTGAACTGACATCTCTACCTTTTGTAGTGATAAATAAACAGACAGAAGTCATTTATAGAATGCACCAGTATATGCAGCCCATTCAATATGTGTTTAACAGCACATATGACTGGTTATATAATTTCAGTAAAGATGCAGCTCTCCAGGCAAGCACTGAGCTTGTGCAGCTCCACTTCTAATGGGAGAAGCATCTGTTCTCGTGCACCCTGAAGACCACAGAAAAAAAACCACTCTAGGCCATCCAAAGAATAACTTTGTGGAGGTGCAGAAGTGTTACAGCTCATTTCAGGAAAGAAGGAGGATTGCATTCGATTATTTAAACACAGGGCTTGTTTGAAAAAGGACAATCTATCTGCTTTCAAATCACGCTGGATTTTTGTGCTACCGTGACTCCACTAAATAACTAAGATTCTCTTAACAAAGAAAGTAGAGAAYAAACTGGAGAACAAAAGTTATTCCACTTAGACCATACATTTTCAAAAGTGCTTATCTGCACCTATCTCTAACAATGCACAGATAGCATACACAGCTCTAAAAAAGAACCTATGGAGATAARGCTAATTYAGCTCAGACTTGGTGGCAGACTAAKACAGTCCCCTTATCTCTGTTATTTTAGTTAGGTCATGTTGAGCTTGCTCAGCAGGACATTCTGCTGTAAGGACAGACCAAGGCTACATCAAAAACATCAAAGGTACAAAAGATGGAGTTCTCCAAAATACTTAACAGAACAGCTTTAAGGTGTATTGTTTGAAAGATACTGTGTAATAAATGGGTTGTTTTGATATAAAAATGGTGAGTTTAGCAACATCAATGCAATATTTTCAAGTGGAAGTTTAGGAAGGTAACAAGGACAGACCTAGTAATTTATGTGGCCTTTATGTCATGCTTYCTTCATTGCACCTATAGTTCACTCATCTGCACTGCAGTAGGATGGCTTTTCCATGCACAGTGACCTGCTCCTTTCATCTGGTCCAAGACAGGGGTCTCATTTGTTGGAAAGGAAAAAAATAGCTTATCGATGTGTTAACTGAAATACTTTCATGTTGGATTCCAAGTTTCTGGAGGGAAAACAGTGCATTTAAACTTTCTAAAAATGCAATTCTAAGGACTCTGAATGGTGGTTCTCAGAAATACCATCAGCATATACAAACAGCCCAGGCAGATTAATAAATTACATGTCTAGCATACAATTACATGTCTTTCTGATTAGAAGATTAGTTTAAAAAGAAACATGGATTGCTAGTTAAGAAAATAACATGGGTTCTGGAATTGACTTCCATCTCTTCTGATACTTTCCTAAATCATCTCTCTGTGCCTCAATCCTCTGACTATAAACATGACAGTTAGCACATGTCATCAGCCCATAAAAGATAAATAATATAGGCTCAAACTTTTGTTTGCTGAAGGAGGCTTAGCACTTGCCTGGGATGCTGGGCATGCAAGAGAATTAAATTCTTAAGTTTTTCTATGTAAACAAGAAAATATCCTCATTTACTATTTTGGAAGATGACACAATCCATAGTACAAGATAAGGAAACAGAAAAACAACAGTCTGCTTCCTGGAGCATATGCACAAACCTTGATTACAGGTTTTCCCTGTAAACCCAGGGAAACAYTTGCATTTGTTTGGTCCCGTGCACTCGCCATACTTGCAGCCAGGTCCACAGGTAGCTGTTGGAATCAGGCAGRGGAAGGAGAGAGAAAAATAAAAAGCTAGAAATATTCTATTTGAGAACTTTTGTCCCATTTAGTTGCCTAAAATCTTTTGCACAAGTTCAGCATCTTCCATACCTCTCACTCTACTCTGAGCATGGTACCTACTGATAAGCACTTTATTTGGACTTGAGAATAGTGGCACTAACATGAATTACAAGAATTTGGGGTTTTTTTTCAGGTTTATAAAGACAAAAGGTCTCTCCCTCATATTTTTTTTTCTCCAACGCTTACAACTTACATTTAGTTTTGTACTCTTGCCTTTTTCCTTTTTTAAGAAGCCTCTGTGAGAAGCAGCTGGCCAGCAGCTTGAATTGCTATGCTTGGCATCTGGAGTAGGAAAGAGGCAACAGCACTCTCCCAGAGCCAAAGGAGACACATAATCCTACAGCAGTTTCACAGTCTTGGATCTCCTCAGTTACARCTGAGGAACATGTCTATCCCATGGTGGAACATCCAGAGCACATCTGTCATCAGGCAACTGTCCTTACCACATATCCCACTAAGTAAAATTGGATCAGGTTTACAGTAATTTGAGAGGGTTACATTTAACCTGGGTGCATTAAAAAGCAACTCTAAGCCCTCTGGATCATCAATCAGAAATTAAATGGTGACTTTTATAACCCTTAAGGCTCCTGAAATCACTGATTGTCAGCATGGGGGTTATTCAGGAAGAGCAAACCAAACATGCATTGAAATCAGGACTAGCTCTGGAGAAACAGTGAAAGAGTGTGCACCAGGGTGTGCATCTCCATTCYTTCTGTAGTCAAGCTGATCTGCAAATTATAGGAAAGTTTAGTTACTGTGTAGTAAAATTATCATTAAAATTCATTTTTCTGAATTGAAGTGTCTTCCCTACATTAAGAGATGCTTTCAGATGTATTGAAGGTAATGACTCTGCAGATTGAGGCATTTTTCAACACTGCTTCTATCCCTGAATGCAACCTGGCACTGCTTCTATCCCTGAATGCAACTGGAATCCCAGCTTGTCCCCCTGGGATTGTAACCACTCCTGCTCAGGATGTTCTCCCATGGGATGGAGAGAGTTCTCCCCTACTGTAACTGAGGAGAGGGAAGGTTGCAAAAGACCAGCTTGCAGGGTTAGCACTGAAGCAGAGAAAAACACATCTGGATTTACAATGCAGAATTACATTATAGGTGGTTTAAAATGATTTGCCAAAGAGTCTTCAAATTTTTTGAAAACCTGTTGCCTTAAAACCAGACAATCTGCCCCACGAGCTGATCAAAGCTACATTTGCCAGTTGCCCCTCCAGATCCTAATTTGCAGCAAAACTAAAATGTGATTAAGCAATGCAGAAATATTAGAATAATTCCTTTTAATTTTTTTTTTAAGATGGCATATAATATATACAGAGAAGAGACATTTTAGCATCTTTCCCTTTTAGTATATGGATTTTTAGTGATGAATAATCCTAAGCCTGTATACAAATTCACCAGGTATGAAAGGCTCTCTGGGACAACAGGTGCAACATCTGAAAAGGATTTCTAAAACATGTATTTTATGTTTTTGTTGTGCTTTGCCCAAGTGCAGTTGGAGAGAGAGAGATTGCACATTGCATTCTCATTGGGATATGGAGGCCTTTTACAAATTTGAGGTGTCTTAAGAGTCATTGTCCCTTCATTAAGCAAATGATCCCCAGACCAGCAGATTGGCTGGCTGGCTACCCAAGCTCAAATCAGGGGCACTTACTGCTCAAGTTTTATTTCTATTTTTAGAAAGTTAAAACCTTCTGGTTCTCAGAAGCTGTGTACTCTAAAGATAAAGGATGCTAATTGATAGGAAACCATTTTAAGGCTCCTTGTATAGTATTGGAAAACACTGCATTTTTAGCACGTACTCAACAGCTGTAACAGTATAGGCACTGACCAGGGCTGTGCAGRGGGTTAGAACAGATGGTGCCTTCTGCATCTAAGAATTTCTGAACGTGCAAGTTATGGTTTGGTGTCGTTTACCCAAAGCTCTGCTTTTTTTTTTGAGGAGATGATCTCTCAAGCATGTTTTATTCTCTCTCGCACAGAGTTAGGAGATTTCACACCTCAGAAGTTTTCTTTCTGTAAGTTCTGGCAGACATGTAAGAAACCACTTTGTAAGCACCAAATACACAGCCACAGAGAGGAAACAAGCAGAAAGTTAACGTTACCTTCACAGTGGCCCTTGTTCTTTCTCCAGCCAGGACAGCAATCCAACCTGGAACCATAGCGACACACCCCGGGCTGGCTCACAGCCACCGGCTGCCCMCGAGATCTCGAGCTGTGTAAAGAAGGACAAACAGCAGCTCCATCAGGGAAATGCACTAGTCCATTCCTCTGTACCCCCCCGGTAATTTCCCTTCTATTTTATCCACTGTCAGGCATTTTGATTTCACCAAACACAGAGCAGTGCTCCTAGACAGGAATGCAAACTTGCGTTTGTTCAGAGGAGCAGAGACAGTGGGAATGCTTCACCTGCAATAAATTAACAGTGCAACATTAATTTATTCTAATGAGAAACATGGCAAAAGGCAAAAAATACAGCTGGGTCCCTGCTAGAATGAGATCTTTTAATATCACTGAAGTCAATGGGGCTGCCTCAGTTTGTGTCACATGAACWATTGGATCAAATATATGATGCCATGGCAGACAGCACTATTGCCTCGGATGATGAAAGACTAACCCTACAAAAAAKCGTGTTCTGAACATCAATCAGCCCCATAAAAGCAAGTGACTTGCAGGCTCATAGCCCCTGCATACATWCAGAGTGATTGCATGAGTGTGAAGAGTCCCAAGCACTCTGGTTCCATTAGACTCCCTGAACTTACAAATTAAYGTTAATTTAACCTGCCAATAAATCCAGGGGGTTCAAAGTCATTTTACAGATCAACAGCTGCAAGAGTTGGAAAACCTGCCATGTTAGTTGCCAAAAATTATAAATCTGATGGAAATCCATGAAAGTGTAAACCTTCTAGACCTCCTCTGTGCTTCTATGACTGCTGTGGCTTTACTTCTCCCTCTGCTTGCTGTTACTTAAGTTGTCCATTACCACATGCCTGTCCCCTTTATGAAATTATTTCATTTATCCAAAATCCTCTGTCCCCATTGCTTTATTCAAGCCGTAACTTAAAATGAACTTTCTTCAAAGAGTCCAAAGTGTTGTTTTTGACATAGAAAGTACCATCTTAGTGAGGGCTTTATAGGAAGTAATTTGGGGTACTGTAACTTTGGGGAAGTGATTTGGCAACAGACTGTAACAAATATCTCATGGTGGGAAAAAAATGGTGAAAAAAGTCATTAGTCATGAATTTTTGCATATTTTAGTCTGAGGCATGAAAAAGGTATCACTTTATCACACTACAGGAATGCTTTACATGTATCTTCCTGTGCCTATCTGCAACGGTTGCACTCACATTAMAACACATTAAATTGCACATTAAAACTGCAAACATCACTGAGGCCAACTAGTAGRACAAATACACACATACACTTAAAGATACAAAGTGTTACTTCCAAGTTTGCTTTAGTAGCTGAACCATTGGAAAGAGAAGGGAGCTCAGAGGAAATGCATAAACTCACGTATCTGAAATACTCTGAACAAAGAGATGGTCTTCATATCACCTGGCAAGTAAAAAAGCTTAATTGTTGGAATAAATTGTTTTGAAGCCACACAACCTTTGCCATCAACCCCATGATGCAGTTTACAGGAGTACATCTTCAGGTGCAAAGGTGTATTGAACAGCTGTAACTCCTCTGTGAGTGTCTGTGACAACCCGCATCTAGAAACAATAAAATAGCTTTTTTTTTTTTTTCTGTTTTGTTATCCAAATGCTGCTGGCTTATTTCATTTGCAAGCATACAAGTTAAAGAATGTATGTTCTGCTTGCACGTCTTGAATTCACCTGGTTAGCAAATGTACATTCTGCTTACATCCCAGAAAATCCCCTTGCATGCATACGGATAGTGCTGACTTCCCCAGAATGTTAAAATGCCTAAAGCTGGAGGAAGAGGATCACATTCCTTTCCAAAGGATGCTCATTTTCACAGGAAAAACTCATTCAGTAATGTTTATTTAATAATTTTCTTCAAAATCAGAAAACAACATATCTATAAAGTATACAACATCTCTCAGGATTTCAGTACAAACCTTCCTTTAAACTGGAAAATGTTCCATAAAGCTGCAAATTAAATTAACATASCTGAACTCTATAGATATTGCCCTGGATGAGGTCTTTCCCTCGTTCTGACTTCCACRCATGAAGATGTAACTTAACCTTTGACAGAGGAAAACATCAACCAGACCCCAGAATCTGGGGGGAAACCCAGTTTTGCAAGGCTAGTCCTCTGACACATGAAAAATCAACACTCATCATCTGGCTATTYCTATCAGGAATCCAGCATTTTTTGATAAAGAAATTTAGAAAGAGGAGATTCTTTCAGGCTGGCAGACCCATTCTGGAAGAATGTCACATGAACCCTCCTGGATATTGGGGGAGAAGTGATGCAGACTGGAGGTACATGGCAATTCTGATCTCTCCTTGTCTGATATTCCTGTAGGAGTTCAGAGGGACTACCTAAAGGCCTGAGTGAGATGGCTGGGCTTGTCACTGCCTTCTCCATGTGCAAAAATTTCCTGGCCTTGAAGAACCTGCAGCCAAAATATGTGGTTGAAGAAGAAAGGCAGAAGAAGACTCACTGTACAGGTTGGATCATAGGAAAGGTCAGTGGAAGAGAGGTGTCTGAAGAGCTCTGTCCTCTGAGAGGCAGCACTGGTGCTAAAGGTAAAAAGTGGCTACTTAGCAGTCCAGGGTACCCAGGCAGGAGAGAAGTAATTGATTTTATGTGGCTGTGGTATTGCTGACAGCACTATGTGACATTTAGCAAAGAACAGTGAAGGTGAACAGTAACMASAAGAACCCAGAGCCCCCTGAGTTGAGGTGACAGAAAGAAAGAGCAGGCTCCRTTAGCTCTCACATGATTGTTGGCACTATTTTAAACGATGTGGGACTGAGTTTCACTGCTCCTGTAACATGTAATGCCGCTGTGGTTTAGGAAYGGTATTCCCCAGTTCACTGCCCCCACCGAGATTGCCCACAACCACATGCCTCCCTCTCTCGAACCCTCATTTCCCCCTTCCCCTTGCAGCAGGATGGAGTTGAAAATTGGAGGCACAATAGGCAAAAATCATGGGTTGAAATAAGAACAATTTACTAGAAGCAGCAGTGAGATAAGGAATGAACAGTAACAGCAATAATGTTAATGACAGAAGGTAGAAGAAAAGAAACATTTCACACAAAAATACCCCAACAGTAGACTAGAAGGGTTCTCTCTGCCACATTTTCTTGAACCCCTTTTCCCTGCCCTCTCCTTTTCCCCTGCCCTCGACAATGGTGTGAGGTGGTATAGAAAAACAAATGCGTTTTCTCTAAGACATAAGAGCCAGTCTGGAGTTCGTGAATTTCCAGTTCCAGAGGARCTGACCACTCAACAGCCTCGCATATGCTGGAACAGCACGCTGCCACTTGATGACAAACGTTTCCATTCACAAATCTGATACTAAAGAAATAAACCACACAACATCTTCGTATTGCAGTTAATTCTCCCTTTACGAGCTATTCCCTTGCTGCAGGACTTTGTTGCTGGAGAACTGGGAGAGGGAACATTGGAATAGCGTGGTCTGGAGTAAGTGGCTTCATTGATCCTCTCTCAAAATCTCGTTCTGTTTCCAGAGCATAGCTGCTCATAGAATCCAACATCTGTGATGACTGGCTGCCCGTTGATGCTGGCAGACCAAGAACTGGAGCCGCTCACGCCTTTCCACAGGTGCTGCAGCTGTTTCCCCCATTTGGACCGCCACTGAAGCTGCCGCTTTTCCCCGAGCACGAGTGCCCAGCTCTGGTCCGAGCACCTCGGGGAAGCGGCTCACACGCCCGCTGGAGCGCTGAACCGGGCTGGCGCCGTTCAGCACCACGGCCCCGGGACCGGCCACCGGCGGGGCGAGCACCGCGGCCACGGGAGCGGGAGGGACCCGCGTACAGCCCGCACACAGCGGGGAGAGCCCGACACCCGCGGGGCCGCCGGGAGAGCTGCAGCACCCCGGGATCCGCTGGGAGCGGAGAGCCGTGTCCGGACCCCCGCCCGCATCCCCCCGCCCGTGTCCCCGCTCACCTGCCCGCGGCGAGCCCGGCGGCGAGCAGAGCGGCGAGCAGGGCGCTCCCGGGCGCCGGCACCATCCCCGGGCGAGGACGGGCAGGCGGCCGGGCCCCGACCCGGCGCTGGCTGGCTGTCCCGCTGGCTGTCCGTCTGGCTGTCCGTCGGGCTGTCCGTCTGGCTGTCCCTCCGGCCGTCCCTCGCAGTGCCGGAGCGCGGGCGGGCGGCGGGACGGGGCGGTATAGCCGGGCGGGACGGGGCGGTATAACCGAGCGGGGCGGTATAACCGAGCGGGACGGGGCGGAGCCCCCTCCGGCCGCGCTCACCCGCTCCTCCAGCCGGGGCGGGCAGACACCGGGGCGGAGAGCGGCGGGTGGTCCCCGCCGGAGCAGGGCAGGGTGTCCCGGAGCCGGGCACGGAGCCACGGTGATGCTCCCCCGGGGAAAGCCGTGTCACCCCGGCGGGCGGTACGAGCCCCGGCCCCAGCCCCACCCCGGCCTCTGGTGCAGCTTTACCCGTGGCACAGCCGGCGTGTCCCGCGGGCTCTGCCTCCGCAGGCACCCGCTGTCTCCCGTGCCATCGCTGCCATGGGTTTCCATCACCGGGAARCAGCATTTGCACCGAAAGCTTTCCAGGCTTTGCCTTTCTTTGCGGGACCGTCCCTGAACAAACTTTTCCCAAGCTGCTAAGAAAAAGTATTTGGATATTAGGAAAAACTTCTTTACCGTGTGCCAGATTATTGTCATCTACTGCTGATTTCTTCAGACTTTTGAAAGTGCAGATGTTCCTCCAAAACAAGTTGAAGTCACCTTGTAGAGAGGAGCYGTGCAAAGTCAGAGGTACCAAAAGSTGACAAATGTAGCCCAGGATTCAAATGACATCTAATTAAAATTTAATCTATTTGAAAGAAACAAACTTGTGTTATACTGACTGTGTGTTGCACAGGATTGTAAAGCCTTCTTTTTTTCTGGATGCTGAACACAAAAGCCATTGTTGGTTTGCAGCTGTTCTGCTGTCTTTCTGAAGTGCAGCAGTACCTTGAGACTCTTCAGCTCCCTTCATTAGACTTGTCTTCCTGTATGGGAGGAGTAGTCTTTTGATTTTAGTTAAATCAGCACCATGTGCAAAGCATTCTAATTACTTAAAACTTATTCAAAGGCTCATGTTTTTTATTATGCRCATTTATTCCAACAAATAGATATGAATGTATAATTTGATGCCGGGCTTGCCAGAATTGTGATGCATGCAGTCTGTTATGAGCTATTATTATTTCCTCAAAAATCTTTATTTTTTACAAGAGTGACTTGTAGATAGGTCTGTCAGCCCTGGTGGTCCCTCCTAAGTAGTATTTCACAGTGCCTGCTGGAATGGGACTGGTCCTGGGTCTCCCCCATTCCCCGTGATTTATTAGGGCAGTGTTTATTGAGGCAGTGGTCATGGCTGTCTCCTGAGTGAAAGCTAATAGGCAGTTTCTGGACAATCCTCCGAATCTTGCTCTGAGCTCACACAGGAGCTCTTTCATACCAAGGTGATATAAGAGTGTCCTATGGCTTCTTGGGTCATATATAACATGTCTTCCAGGAATGTCCCTCAGCTTTCAGGAAAACATTTTTGTACTCCATGCAATCCTAATCCCAAAGCACACCTCATGGTTGCTGTTGTTCATATATTTTCTTGATACCTAGAATGCAAAATGGGAAATTAGTGGGATGGCAATTATTAATCCTATTGCTAGACTGAACACAGTTCTTGCTATTKTTTCAGTAAATGCTGCCCCTAGTTTTGGGTCTTACCTGTGTTTTGTRTTCCAATTTGTCATCTCTGGACCAAAATGAGGCCCCATGATAAGACTGCTTTGCCCACTGAAAATGCCTTTTCCCAGCTGGGATGAATGGACACAAGAGCTCAGAACTTCTCTGTGTGTGKGGGGGTGGGTCCTGCTCATCCCTTCTCGTTTCCTTTGTTGCCTGACATGCTGGGTTCATCAACAAGAGCATCACCATCTACAAAGATGAAGAAGTAATTGTCTCTATTCAGCACTTGTCAGGCYATACCTGGAACACTTTGTTCAGTTTTGGCCCCTGCTATACTTGGACAGCCTGGAGAGAGTCCAGAGGAGGGCCACAGAGATGATCAAAGGAATTGGAAGCTGCCATGTGAGGAAAGGCTGAGAGAACTCCATTTGGCCAGGCAATAAGTCTCCTCATGCACTTCAGTCTCCTCACGGTTTAATTTTCAAACTACTGGGGAATCCACCAACTCTGTATTTGCTTAGGTTTTTCCTGCTTGTCTCCCCACTTTGCTCTGAAAGTTGCTGTGGAACAGCTCCATAGACTCACGGACCCTGGAGCTTCCATGCAGAGGAGGAGATTCAGTCTCCAGAGCACACTGAAGGTACACAAAGCACAGTCCCTGACACAGCTCTGGCTCTGCCATGGTTTGATATGCTTCTTTCCTTTGAGGCAGTAGCACTGATACTCAAAGGGATGGAAGGGTGGGGTGGGAGACAGTCTGTGAGGCTATGGAAGAACAGAACTAGATTTGCCCCTTTCTTTCCCACACTTTGAGTGTCCCTTCCCATGCAAAGAAAGGGGTTAGATTTTCAAATTAAGCCTTGAGCTCTGAAAAGKGCTGCAAGTCCCATGTGAAGAACTCAACACCAAGTAGCTAATCCATAATGCCCCCCAGATGAGCCTTTGTTTCTCACCTGGATTATTTTAATTGAAACCTACACAGTCCATGTGTGCATCAGGGATTGCCATTTCCAGCAGCTTTATGAATGAATGTAATAGGAGATCACTGTGTGGTTTTCAGGGAAGAATTYTTGTAAGTGCAGCTTCCTGGCTTTTGATGTGATTTTCTTTAGTTTCAGGTCTMCTGCCAAAAAGATTTAGGCATTTTTTCCCCTCATATTATTTCTCTACATATTGATACACAAATCTTTCATTGCTTGACTGCATCAGCCTATAACAAAAATAATTCTGCCACTGGTGATCCTGTTATATGTAACACTTTCCATATGGTTGTCCAATATCATGGTGCCTCTGACAGAGAAAAACACAGTTATTTAATAGTGTTCAGCCATACTATGTTTTAAAAATTGTGAAGTTCAAGGTATCAGTTGATACCTTTATTTTGTCATTGTTATAAAAGTTGAATATTAATTGACTGTCCTGTAATTCAGTGCTTTGGAGCTTTAAGCTTTGACAGTTTGTCCTTTTTATTTGAATTACCAAAATGTAACAGTTCAGCAGGTGGCAAAAGAATGAAAAAAAGCAGGGATTAAACTAGATGGGCTCTGGACTTATCTTGAATTTATCATGGGTCCACAGTTGTACTTTCCAGCTTTTGCTAATTTGCTGCTGCATTTAGAGATTGCTGTATGGAGAATGGCAGYAGATTTCTGTTTTACTTGGATCCCCAGGTTACATCTTCATTTGTTCCCCCTGACCATCTCAGTGCTGGCAAGCTCAGCAACAATGCAGAAACCTCAGCCCAGTGGGGAAGCAGAGACTGGGTGTGACTTTATAGAACTGACAGGTTAGATAGAGCAAAAAATAACTCAGAACATTGAGACTGAAATATTGCTATAATAGCAAACCTGGCTATATTCCCCCCCCCCCTTTTTTTTCAGTTAATTGAAGTTCCATTTATCTTGCCAAATAGTTTCAGATCAAGTTTTTTTATAGGTTTTTCATGGAGTAGAATAAACAGAGAAATAAAATTAAATCATCCATTTTTTTCCTCATGAATCATTTTATCAGCTTTAACAGACTATTTTGAAATACTAAGAAGTTATGAATGGGATTTCTCAAATGGAATTCCTGGATAGAATCATGATTCTTAAATCGATTGAACTTATTTTTTGTTTTGGCTTGCTGAAACAAAAGTTTGAGTATTGCTTCAGTGTATCTTGAGAAACCAAATTAGGTTCAAAGTTGAAATCCTTGTGGTTATGTAACTGTGGTCTGAGGCTTTAGCAAAACTATCAAATATCCAGATATTTATGAGACCTAATAATATTGCTTCACTGARACTATGCACATAAGGAAAAGTTGGCAGACCATGTTGTTTAAGGCAAAGCACCAGGATTAACAAATCTTTCCTACTAGGAAAATGTAGTTGTAACCTCAACYTACTTTCTAGCTGAAGTTATAAAATACCCCTCAAAAGTGGTCTGTGTACATTCCTTTGATATTTGATAACATTTTTCAGATTGCTACTATGGTTAAACTCAACCCTGTGGTCCATGGGGCAATGCTTGCTGTCCTTTGTGTAGCAGAGAATAGGAATCCATTGGTGGGATCACCATGGATCCCAGATATCCCTAAGAAGAGTTCATTATATATTTACCAAATTATGGTTTCTGTGAGGGAATCCTTATTTYTGGCCAAAAGCAATTGCAAGCATGAAAACTGAGTGTTTAGAAAATGCTAATGCTTTGTATTGTGTTATGTTTAAATAATTTAAAATCACACACTCAGGATGGTGGGTGGCCTAACACTACACGAACAAAAGGCTGTTAAAATTATACCATCAGGCTGCAGATCACTTTTCTAAACATGTAAGTAAGAAGTTTCACATGTTGGGTTTGTATTCCACAGCCTGGGGTTCGAAGCAAGGCTATAAATTGATTTGGCAGAAGCAGCTGAGCTGAAGGATCAATGTTCCTGTTTGATGAGTGCTTCAGGAGAATGAGAACAATCCAGCAAAACCTGACTGAGTTTATTTTGGCARCCAAGACAAAGGTCATTAAATGAAAGGAAGACAGCATGGAACTGATGAAAAATCTGAGGGCATCACAGATGAAAATATGCGAAGAATTGCCTAGTCAAGGCTTTCTTTGCTGTTATTTGGTTCTCTGGTATGGATATTCATTACTGGCTCWGTTGTCTCAGGTCTGCTTTTGAAATGCATCTTAAAGTTACTCCTAGAATCCACAAAGTCCATTTCACATGGTCTGCACGAACCTAAGCATGTTGAATAGTCACTCACAAGATTTACTATCCAAGTGCAATTCTAATCTGAACTACAATGCAGATGTAGAAACACCCCTCGATGTCAGCCTTATGGACAGTACTGGTATTATAATAAATAAATACTGGTTTGGGGTTTTTTTTTTTTGAGAAAAATCTTTCCAAAGAGTCTCTTTCAAAACCTTGAGTTTTTTATCTGACTGTCTACATTTATTTTTATTTAACCTTTTTCATAAGCTCTTTTCTCTTCCCTAGACCTCAATCTTCAGTACTTAAAAAT